ATTATTCTTGAAATGACTGATACGCCTTGTCTTATTAGACAAACTATCTTTGACTTTGGCATAACTAGTCTGAATATTCTGGATAACCATGACTTGACTTTAACATGACTATATAACTCTTACTTGAGCTCTGTAAGCTATCCTGAGACAATTAATTGGTCATCTCGGAATTGGAACATGACATTTACTGACTTACTTGGCTTGATAAGGTGCGACTTCAAATTTCCAGGTAAATTTGGAATAATAGTCTGTATATCAGACCTTCATATTTAACCCGACTTAGTAACTATTATACGTCGACCTTAAACTCATGATCATTGACTTTAATTCGTGAACATCGACTCATGACTATGTACTGTATTGGGCTGCTCCAATATCAACTGGTCCCGCAAGTACAAAAGAAATAACTGATCTTGAGCTTTGAAAACCATAACTTGGAATATCACATTGATAGAATACATAACATAACTGACTTTAAAGGTTGTTATTACATGAAATCATACTGTTCTGATCACAGTTTCAAGCCTCCATGGTATACCCGGCTGAGTGGCTCTTATTTCAAGCCTCTATGGTAACCCAGAATATTGACTCTTATACACTGAAAACCGTTACTTTTGACAATGTCTTAGAAAATATAACAACCTTTAGCATGAAAGTTTAGCCCTGAACTTGATTTACTGATCTGACGTAGGAAATTTGAGTCTATTCCCTGATCTAACTCAAGGAATTCCTCCTTGGAATGTGCCAACAAGTTAGCAAAATGGGCAATTTTTGATAGAAAATGTCTGAGGAACATGATTTCTAAGATTTGTATAACATAAGTGCTTACAAATCTCTTGACGAGTCGTGAACTCGACTGAATAAATCTAGAATTTAATCTAGAATTCTCAAATTTAGCCCCTATTCTGAATACTGATTCGAGAATTCTTACTGATGACATCATACTGACTATAGACATAATAATTCGAAGCTGATCAACAAAGCACACATTTCTCTTGACGAGTTGCTAAACATGACTGGGAAATACTGACATTAAATCCTGAGTTTACTGACTACTGATCCTGAACATGACTCGAGCATCTTAACTAAGTCATAACTGAGGAATTTCTGAGCATAGACATAGTAATTTGTTTATAATTTAAAAACATGAATCAACACTTACCTGTAGTCGGCGAGGCGTGAGCGTGACGTGTCAAGGTTTTCGTAAATTTCTGACTCGTAAAAATTTTCAGAGACGCAGAAACATGCTCTGATACCATCTGTAACACCTCGCTATTTCATGAAAATCAGAGTGCAATTTGCATTTTTTTTTGTAAATAAAAGCATTTATTTTGCGAAATACTGATTCAGAGTGCTACCATAAAATCTGACTTTATCTGAAAACTATTATTTTAGTTTAATAACAAAATGGTAATGAAATATAGTAACCGACTGGAGTCGGATCAAAAGCTAATTTGACAAACTGAAACAGTTAGCGGAAAACATAGTGTAGCCAAAACATGTTTAAACATATATACAAAAGTCCTGAACCGGCCGCCAGCTCACTCCTCGACTCCGACCCTGTGACTTGAAAAACATGAATAATGTGGGGGCGTGAGCACTAATCCACTGTGCTCCGCAGAAACTCATACTGAAGTAAACAGTGAAAATAATAACAATATTATGATCCTGGCATATATACTGAACTGATACTGAACTGAAACTGAAACTGATACCGGTACTGAATAATCATGATCTGATACTGATCTCCTGATAATCATCACCTGACTGATAACTGAACATCTGCTAGCATAAATGTCGGACACCATGTGCACACTCTAGTGGGCAGACTAAGGCCACTAGAACCCAGAATGGACCGGCAACCATTCCGAGCGGATACTGATAATACATACCTCAAACATGGTAGCGTAATTATAATCAATGTAATACCCAGTCTGAGTCCCCACCTGATCTGCTGATTTGAAAATGTAAGTGCTGACTGCCTGCAAAACTGAACATATATAAACAAATACTAAGTACTATGCTCAGACTGATTAAAATAGCTGTTAAGATGCTCGACTCGATCTGAATA